GCCCCCGAAATGTCCCCACCGCGACGCCCGCCAAAAAGCAGCCGCGTCGGCCCATTCGGAAACCGACATTCGCCTCCGAGCGAAAAATCAAGCCAACCGCCGCCAATAATAATACAAGATAAGGCAAAGTGGACATCCAGGTTTGTTCGTGGTTTGAAACGCCAAACATCCGGACCCCGGTCCAAGAATACGCATATGGGTATCCAGCGTAGACCTCGATTTCGGACGATTTCGCGCGTAACTAAGTACTTGCGCGAAGTAGGTAGGTTTCCCACAACACTCACTACGAAGAGCGTAAAATTCGGGTCGTAATTAGGGGTCACCAAAAGAGTAGGGGTGATATGGCTAGGTCGAAATTCCGCACTCAGGATACCCGTTCAGCCGTGCGTCGTCATCAGGCACCCCGCTCTAGCTATCGCACCCGGTCCTTGTCCCGTATGGACATGGTCATCGGTGGACTTGACCCTACCCCGGAAGGTAAGGCCCATTTTCAAACCTTAAAGAGGTTCTGCTGGGCTCAGTGAACTTAGTCATCGAGGCCCCCACGTAAATCAGGTGTTGTGGACCACCAGGTTCCACAACTGTCCACCATTTTGGCCCACACGGCCAATAATGCTTCGCTGCACAGTGAAGGATTGCGTCAAATTCCACCGGTCGACCCGGCCACAACGAGTCACGAGGCCGAAAAGATTTGGCGCAGATCCACCGGACTGCGTTAAATGGTCACACTACCGGCCCATATTAATCCGGCTCGTTAAGAGGATCCCTGGCGCTTAGGCCCCGAAACTAGCCGCGAGAAAATCTCCCGCGCGAAGTCTACCGTTGCCCAAAACCCGCGCCGTTAAACTTACATTCCCGAGCCCGTAGCCCGGCGTGAAACCGCCTGGGCGAAACCCCAGGTGGCCGCCGCAGGAACCGCAGCTGCAGCGCCAATTCCGTGCGCGGAAAACACGGACGACCCATTCCGGGGCGCGGCAAATAGTTCTACATCTGGCAGCTTATTAGATAGAATCAATAGGCAGGAAAACTCGCCGTATTGTCCGCTAAAATAGCGGCCGCCACATCTGGCCACGAGCGTCTTAGGGCAATTAGCCAAAACAACAAACGCCTGTGGAAGCCCTTTGGGCTTTTACGAGCCAACCGTAAAAAACAATAGCCCGCGGATAAAAAAACGCGCTCCGCCTGTCGTTAATTAGACCCATAAAAACACCTTAATGGGAAAGTACAACCGCAGGTAGAACAAAACCTCGGGCGCTGGTTGTTTCGTAGTTCAACGCACACGGCATAAACGGTCAAAGGGATGAAATCGCGGATTCCTTCGCGATTATAACGTAGATATTTTCCTAGTGCAAGAGACATTCTTTGAAGAACCTAGTGTAAATAACGCGATCCCAGAATCGCAAATTACAATATTGTCCGCCACGACCCCCCCGTTAGCAAGCCGCTGGGAGGCACAAACTTATTTATTATAACGGTCCTTGCACTGTTGCCCGCTCGACATTCCCAGAGCTAAGTCAAATAGAGGCATAAATGCCGTGTAGGTTAGCGGGGTCACAGGCCACAGGCCGCTTGTACTAGTCTCAGCCCCTACCTATCGGGAATAGAACCACTACTTCAAAGCGACCTAGATACGCTTCTTAACGTTAGGCCCTTCCGTGATAAATGCAGGAGATCTAAACTGCAAACACGGCTCATGGGCCGCACATCAACATGCATCCCAAACAACAACGGAATGCATCTCTTTAGCTTATCCGATAACCTAAATTTAGTATATTCGCTCCCGCGACTCCACTAGGTATCCTACGGTGGACAAACTACCAACCAGCACGTCAAACGAGTGTCCTAGAATAATGTTATTCAGGGAGGTCTCGCTCGACATCGAGTCTATAGAGACAATCCATGAACTAGACTCAGACCACAGGCCCGTCCTGTGTACAACTGGGCCAGAACGCCGGCGCGGTCCCTCCGACCAAATCCGTCAGTGGGACTGGCATCGTCTTGAGGTCAAACTCAAGGCCCTTGGACCCCCAGGTCTTAGTAGACTTACCCGAGACGATAGCTACGTTCGAATGACGCATCGAGCGATAGCGCGTCTCCGCGAAACGAAATATACTTCCGCAGTCACAGACCTGGAACGGACGGTGAAACTGTCGGGCGACCGACGGTTTAAACTTTCCGCCGACCTGCGTTCTGCTAATCAGACAGAAAAATGCAGCCAAACGCGCCTTCGACCGATACCGATCGGAATCGAACCGAACCTACTTCGACGCCTTCAGCTAGAAGTCAAAGATCGTGTATCGGACACCGACAACCACACGTGGGACAATCTCCTAGAGGACATCGAGCCATCGCACACCGCCTACTGGCGGTTGGCCCGCAGTCTGAAAGCAGACCCCCCGCGAATCTCTACCCGCGTTAGTTAGACCTAATAGCGCTTTCAGTAGCCCTAGATGACTCCGACAAAGCCGAATGCCTTGCGGACAACCTAGAGCCAGCCAATGTACGCCATCGCGCGAACACACCGATTCGGTCCACCTAACGGAGGTGGACAGCGTAATCGAGACTAGGGCTGCGCCTTTCCACGGGAAGGGCGAACCTTTAAATTCAGTGACCCCCGAAGAGAGTCCAAGATATGTATTAAAAATTTAAAACCAAATCCGCCCCGGGCCCAGATAATATAAGTATAAGATTCTCAAAGCTCTCCCTGGGCCGCTTATCTGTTTACTGTCTGGCGACCATTTTGAATGCCCTTTACTCTCCAGTTGCTCCTTCCGGACGACTGGAAGAAGCCACGGTTATCGGCATTCGCAAGCCAATAAACCAGCCAATCCAGGCCTCTAGTGAAATGGTCCCATCAGCTCCTCAGTTGCCTGGGGGAAGCTCTACCGAGCGGCTATTGTTAAACAGGCTCAAAAGAGCAGTATTTTCCAACGGCCTTCTGCCGACGGAACAATTGGCTTTCGAGCTAGACACTCTTGTCCGATCAGTTATTCCGCCTAACGGCGCACATCCTAAAATGGCCTTAAGCACCCTCAAACATCATTTAGTAGCCAGGGGCTGCTCTCTCTTCTTCGAATGTCGCAAAAGCATTCGACAAAAGTCTGGCACAAAACGGCTTGCTTTAACAAGCTGTACAACACTCAAGTGCCAGATAGGCTCGTACCCACCATCCGGGCCTTTTGGTGTCAACCGCTCTTTTAGATATCGAGTCGAGGGCAACCTCTCTCCACAAGCCGCCGCCTCACGGCCGGCGTACCACAAGGGCTCCTGCCTCTCCACCCTTTGCTATTTACGCTCTACCCGACGGCGACATACCTAGAGACCCCTCACGTCAATCTCGCGCGCTTTTACGGATGACACGGCGCTATTTTTAATCAGATCGCCACCTCAGTCAAGTAAACAACTCGACTCCAAAGCGAAGCCGACCGCCTCCGGCGATTGGTTCCGCACATGAGAGACTCGATATTAATCCACGAAAAAAAAGTGTGGCGGTTCACTTCACTCGTAGCACCCCAAGCCCTCATCCGCCATCCGCACACGTTACAAAGTCCTCGCCAGTACAGAACGTTGGGGCAAATATCACTATATGGACCAAACTCTCCCCCTGTGGAGAAAACGGTCAAATATTTAGAGTCATCTTTTGCGACTCGCGTATGACTTTGTCACTACGCAACATCAATCAAGTCAGAAATAAAGCCGCGTTCGTCGGTCCGGCCGGCTACACAACTTTAACGATAAGCATAGTAAAATGCCCTTAAGGCACAAACTAACTGTTATATAAAGCTTGCGTAGGCCAATCATGTCCTACGCTTGCATGATCTCTTCTCACATATAAAATCCTACGCAGCATTAAACAATTTGCAAGTAGTTCAAAGTAAGTTTATCTCCCGCCGCGCAACAGACCGTGCGTAATGGTATCAGCGCAACGTCGACCTGCACAGCGATTGCAGACTCCCGACGATTCGCGCACATTTTAACAGCATTTTGACAAAATCGGTTCTTCGATAGAGCCCAGCATCATCCCAACCCGCTCAACACCTGGTGGTAAGCGCAGCAAACTACCAACCGGACAACAAACGCGAACGTAAACAGCGTCGCCCGCGAAAGTAGTCCTCATCGAACCCGGTCGACGGAGAGGACTTAGATACGATGGACCCACCGCCGGGGGTCCCGCCGGATAAAGCACTACACCAAGAGTTAGTGTAACAACACAATCACACCAGTTCGCCCTCCTCGCCTCCGAGGCACGGCGAGACCCACACAACGCGTACACAAGCTACACCCGCAGTTCCGGGGCGGGTTCTCACCGCTCCCAGCCAACGATTCTAAATGCACAGTCGACGGCCGTCAGGGGTCTCGGTCCGAAAAAAAACCCCCCACGGCGACTCTGAAGGCCCTTAGATGACACACCATAGGGGGGGGTGGCGGGGGGGGGGGGGGTGGGGGGGGGGGGAGGGTGTTTGGGGGGGGGGGTGGGGGGGGGTTGGGGGGGGGGGGGGGTGGGGTGGGTTAGGGGGGGGGGGGGTGGGGGGGGGTGGGGTGGGTGGGGGGTGGGGGGGGGGGGGGGGGGGGGTAGGGGGGGGGGGGGGGGGGGGGGGGGGGGGGGGGGGGGGGTGTGGGGGGGTGGGGGGGGGGGGGGGGGGGGGGGGGGGGGGGGTGTGGGGGGGGGGGGGGGGGGGGGGGGGGGGGGGGGGGGGGGGGGGTGGGTTGGGTGGGGTGGGGGTGGGGGGGGGGGGGGGGGGGGGGGGGGGGGGGGGGGGGGGGGGGGGGGGGGGGGGGGGGGGGGGGGGGGGGGGGGGGGGTGGGGGGGGGGGGGTGGGGTTGGGGGGGGTGGGGGGGGGGGGGGGGGGGGTGGGGGGGGGTGGGGGGGGGGGGGGGGGGGGGGGGGTGGGGTGGGGGGGGGGGGGGTGGGGGGGGGGGGGGGGGGGGGGGGGGGGGGGGGGGGGGGGGGGGGGGGATGGGTGGGGTGGGGGGGGGGTGGGGGGGTTGGGGGGGGGGGGGGGGGGGGGGGGGGGGGGGGGGGGGGGGGGGGGGGGGGGGGCTTCTGACAGAAATTACGGTATTAGAGTTATGAATTCAAAATCGGGTACGGAAAAAATCCAGGCAATGGAAATTTCAGTTCCTATTTCCAAGTCTTTTTAGAGTTCTGTACCCAAAGGATAAAACGGGACCATGTTACTATGACTCCGCTGTCTGTCTGTCCGTCTGTCACCAAGCTGTATCTCATGAACCGTGATAGTTAGACAGTTGAAATTTTTCCCAATGACTTATCTCTGTTGCGGCTATATCAACAAAAAAATCAGAATAAAAACATATTTAAGTGGGGCTCTCATAAAACGGACACGATTTTTTTGCCGTTTTTATAGATAATGGTACGGAACCCTTCGTGTGCGAGTCCGTCTCGCACGGTTTTTTTAATGGAAAAAGCTGGCAAGCAGGCAAGTTCACTCGATATTCTGAGATCACCGCCGCCCATGGACATCTAAAATACGAGAGGATTGCAGATACTTTTCACACCATCTGAATAACTACACAGAGGCATTGCTAGACATTCAAAAAAGTGGGCCCCGGTTTCCCCACTAGCTACATGAGACCCGAAAATACAATACCTTCTTTCTTTCACGCCAGTTTTCTTTAAGGCTGTGGTACTTTCCTGACAAGCCTGGCCATTGGTGCAACAGCAGATGTTGCATGGCACAACCACAGCAAAAGATCCCAATTATTAGTTATATTGTATTGAAACATATTACTGGGCTATAACTTATATACATATTTTACGTATATCTGTATTTCTTTCTGAATCTTACGCCTTCAGCCTATTCTACGCAGACGTAGTCGCGGGCAGCAGCTGGTTATATATAAATGCAGCATCTCTCTCGCCGACTGTTGAGTTTTCGCAAAGCGATACGTATGACTCCTTACTTGATTCACTTTGATCCCTGCATACTCTTAACGGATATATATAATCGAAAATTGCCTAATTTGTAATAACTAAATGATAAACTATAAAATATATGCACATATAAGGCGTAAGACTTGGTGGCGAGAGAAAACTGTATAGTTCATGTATCGTTAATCCCGCTCTGAATGATTACGAAAAATTCTAAATTCTTTACCTCATTTTATGTGAAGACCGTTTGCCATGAATATTCCACCCACACAAACTCTTGCAATGACTCAGTACTAATAAAGTCCTTAAAATTATATGTTCCGTGGAAACACCGTAACTTTCCTATTGAAGTATGTATATACATATGTCCGAAACGATATAAACATGACGATTTTGCGAGCCTATTCGTAGTACTGTTGATAGGACGCTTAAAATAAAATACATTTTAAAGTCATTAATTTTAGGATCTTTATGTAAATATTGCAATCAATGTATGTATTTTGTAAGTGTATTTACTTTTTGAGCACTTGACCAATAAAGCTTTTACCGTCTCAACATATGGAAGCGAAAATTTCTTACGAGAAACGAAAAATGTATAGGAAAACTGCCATAAAATCCGTAAAATGTCTGTTATCAAACCAATGTAACGGACAGCAAAATATTCATAAATGTTTGTAATTTTGAAAATGAGGCTGAAATGTATCAAAATTCTGATAGAAAAAAGCATTTTTAATTTTTTTTTTTATTATTTATTTTTTATTTCATACAGCTTCAGTGGTTGTAGTTGTGAAGAGCCAGATTGTTCCTATTTTTGTTTTCAAAGGTGTTATCTTGACTGTAACGAAATTTCGTCTCGCAAACAAAGCGAATCCCGCGAATGTTTAGTCGTAGGCTGTTTGAAGTGTGTTGGCTCTTGTGCGAGGGAGAGGGCTCTAGAGTTGAGGGCGCGGTGTCAAGGAGCGGTAGACTACGTGCCCTGGAGCCCGAGGATAGTACAAGACACAGATTCCAGTATTCGTGTCAGCGAGGCTTTGGGAGCGTGGAAAATTATCATTTATAACATAAAAACTGAAACGATTAACATGTAGTGTATGTCCGAGTCCATTCAAAAATATTATTCAATAAATTAATGAAATACTTTATTTCTACGCCTATACAGCGTGTCGTTACCATCGCGACAATAAATGAACACACGTCTAACGCTACTTGCCAATAATCATAAAACAATATTAACGTTAAACAAAATCCATAATTAAAAAAAATATATTTCAAACAAACTAATTAAGTTAAAAAGAAACAAAATTTGTAACGTCCTATACAACTCGCGCCACAGAGTCGCATTACAGCCTCTCCTTCTAACAGTATGATTTGTCTCTTTTAAATTCATTCAAGCCATTCATATCCTTTGTGACCTTTACAAATGAACTTTACGTTACAGTTTTATAGGTAAGGGTGTTTTAAAATTCTTTGTTTTGAAAAATTTAATAACTCTGTAAATATTGATGTTTTAAGAATGAAAATGTTTAATACAATTTTAAAAAGTTATGCCCTATATGTGTGTTCATTTATTGTCGCGATGGTAAAGACACGCTGTATAATATTGTAATACACCCGTGCGAAGCCGGGGCCGGTCGCTAGTAATCTATATACTCGTGGTAGTAATGGGTAATTTAGTACAAACAATCTTTTACTTTTTTGTGCTAATTTTACACAATGATATAAACAACGCGAAAAATTATCAAATATTTTTACACTTACGGTCTTTCTAGACCTAGCAACAGTGAACGCAAATAAAACATGTTTTATTACGCCTAGGAATGTTTACGGACAGTGACTAATGCTAAGGTTATATCTGGTATAAGGGAATGATCTTTTTTATGGCATCGCTCAGTCCCCACGATAAGTGCATTGCAAGTGCAAAAAACGAATTAGAGCAGTAAGCGGGTATGGACCACTAGAAGCATGTAGACTTTTATTTACAAATTAATCATCAGGTTATTTGTATTATATTATATGTTGCTTGTATATACATAGTATATAGAAATTGGTATGTTTGTAAAACATACCAATTTCATAATATGTAAACAAATTAACTAAAAGTGCTTTTCGAAATGACTGAATTAACTTTCAATATTTTAGGATATTTGGTCATGTTCTTGTCTGGTTGGATTTATATAACCAAATAACCTTATTCAAATCTAATAACCTTAGGCAATGAATACCAAATACTTTTTTGTATATAAAAAATAAAAATACGTAACGACTTTTTAATATTTCTTATTTTTCCAAGATCAATCAAGATGAAATGAGATACAATCGTATTAATTATAATGGTGAAATATTCGCATGGCAATGAGGCGAAAAATGTATGTACTTTATATAATTTAAATTCAGTCTTCGATTCATCAGCCCCTGGTAGGCGGACAGAGATGACATTTTTTACCTATTAACGTAATCCCATTTATGACTTTAATATCTATTAGGTATCGTACTAAGTGCTTAATATGTGAAAACAATGTAATGCTCTTCTTTTATGACAAAACGGTGCGATACGAACATTCAATAGCGAATCCATGATTATATGAATAATAAATTAGTAAAAATCTACCTTTATTTCCGATCCTGTTCTTCATTCATCCAAATACCGTACAGTTAAATTTAGAAGTACTAAAAATTTTGTATGATAAATTATAAAAATTAAAAAGGTCATGAAAATACATTAGAACGATTCTCTGACTCATGTTTTCACATTTAATGTGATAATGTTACAGAACAGACGCCAGGGTATTTTTCGCTTTGAATTTAAATAATGTGGATCTAATATATCAATCAATACCATATGTGAGAAGATTTTTCCGCTGTTTTACTCACTCAATGTCATTTTGTCGATTATTAAAAACCCACACAATTATTTCTTCTACCGAAAGTTTAATTGAAGTTCATTGAAGTGACTACTGATTTAATTTTATTGACATATTATTTACAAATATAACGTTATAATTGTATACACGTTACTATAGATATAGATAAATATACCGATTGCCTCATCACTGATAGACTGATAGGATGACTGTATTTTATTTCTAGTCACTATCACAAATTACAAAAAAGATTTTATTGTTTAATTTTATTTTATTTTATTTTAAAAGTTTATTATTTAAATTTAACAGTAAATTTTGCATTGAAAAGGCGTTTAAAAATATATGTCTCAGAATGCCCTACCTTTCATCTAATCTCTATTTGACATCCGCTTACACGCGATCGCATCTTTCTCACCGGAATCGTCGAGATAGGTTCCGATCTGAGGCGTACTAAATCGTTTTTCAATATTCCTTCGGTGTGTAAAGATCAAATACCCTACTTACATAGAACTTTTGGAATACTTAAACCATTGCTGGTACAAAATGTTAAGACCCCAAGGCATCGATAATTAAATGGTAAACTTAAAATTAATTATATAATTATATTTATTTTTATTTAAATAATAATTACGGTATACTGGATAAGTTACCTTGATAACAAAATAAGATATAATAACCATACTATCAATGCCTCCAACCTAAATAGTAACATTCTTTATTATTGGGCATTTTTAAGATGATTTTCTTGCTCTGAAGAGTGTGGTCTCCAAGTTAGAGCCAAATGCGATGTAGTAATAGATTTCTTGAGTTGGAACGAAACCCACGTTGCTATAGATTCTGTTTATCCGTCATAGAGAAATACAGCGACGCAAGCCTACGTACTACTACTACATTTCAACATTACAATCAAAATTGTTGTTCATGTATTTACGGTCCGGTACCAACCTCTAAGATATACACGATGTTAAATGCCGCATTTTCATCATCATTCCTGTTTATCTACTGCTGGAATAAAACCTATTCAGAGTCATATGACTAGAACTTGCACCCTTAATATCCATATCAATTGTCACTCCACCTAGCCTGAGGTAGTCCTGCGCTACTTTTGCCGAAATACCATCCCCATCCAAGAAATTGTCTGCTTCATCGGCTGTCAGTTCTGTGAGAAATGTGACCAGGTCACTGTTTTAATGTAAAAATGAGTAAATCATTTCAGTTTAGTCCCTAAGAGCTATGTCGACGACTTTTAATCTCTACCATACCACCTCTTTTCGGATCAAATCATTCAGTGAAACTCCGTGCATTGCTCTCTCCATGAATCATGAGTGACTTTAAGTGACAAGGTTAGTAGGAGGTTGACCGGGCGTTGAGTGCCCATTAACATTAAGATTAACATCAGGTGAACCACTTACTCTTAACATAACACACTATAGCTTAGAATACTTTACGTAGAACTAACGCTGTGAAAAGTGAAAGTGGCCATATAGGAAATAATCTGATTTAATCAGAGATAACACATATGTTCATACGTATCAAAAACCAGGAGCATTACCTTGAAAAAATAAAAGCACATTTAACTAACTGTTTATTTTAATAACTCGGATAAATTCACTGGTGATTAGTGTAGGCAATCCTAATTTAGAAATAATATAGCGCAAACATGATATGGCCCTGCTTTCACTATTTAAAACGTACACTTTAGCACTTTGACTTTAGGTCCACATTCGCATGAATTAAGTTGATAATAAAATCACTTTTACACAATGCGTATAGTCACGCACCTATAAATCAAGTGAAACGTATGGAAAATATGATAAGTTGGTAAAAGTAATATTTGACGTTATTTTACCAAAGGCTGTCCCAGAGCGACATTCTGTAACGAATAAATGTTTTTATATTAAGAGGAATATTTATTTTAAGATAACGACAAGAGATAATATGATAACGATAAGAGGTAAAGATAAACCGTTGTAAATATAAATTTACAACTCATCAATGAAAAATCAGTTTAAGCAGAGGAATGAATAAATAGACTTAATTCTTAAGCTACATACATGTAGCTTTTTCAGTTAAAAAAAACTTACATGTAGATTAAGCTATGTAATTTTTTAATTAAAAAAAAACTTATGTGAGACAAGACGCCAACTGTTCAAGATACCAAAATCGTTAACAGATAGCGTTTTTAGTTCGAACTTAAACTAGCGATTCCTAAGTAAATAACAAAACTTGCAGCTGGTAAAAGTTTTAAGAATCCATCAAATCCTATTATATAAAAAAATCCTGTTATATAGCTGAAAAAGTTATCTTTTTGTTTTTCGCATAATTTAGCTTCACAATCTTAATCTAATCAAAGTTCATCGAAGTCTTTATGGACTTAAGGGCTTTGAAAAAACTAACCAACAATTTTACGAATCATCTTTAACAATTCCTTTCCCAAGAATTTCAAACTTGGCTAAAGTATACAATTTTTCAATGCAATAAAGTTCAAAATCGCTACGCTCCATAATCAACCCAAAAGCGTGAGCCGAATAAATTATAGAACGGTCAATGTCAATATATACATATGTCTTTCGACAACAAAATCGGTCTAGCTGTTTAGGAGGAGTTCAGTGATGTACAAAAGAATTATATATATAAAGATATATTGTAAATTATTTCTCATATTTTTATTACGATTGTTTATTATGATACTTGGCGTCATACCTAAAATACACAAAAGTTTATACAAGCAATAATTGATATATTCTCTCCTTGATTCCGATCTCTCCAAGGAGTAATGAACTTTATACCTCTATTTTCTCGCTGGACAATAATTCTCTAATATCAACGTGGTCGAGTTTCTACTTTATTTTGATTTCCTCTACTTAACAACAAAAAACATTACTAAAATCGATTTATCCTTTAATAGAGTTTACGTAGATTAGTCCGAACTAAACACAAATACAGACAGACCGAAAAACAACTATATGAGGTGAGAAATTGATTAGAGTATTCTAATTCTTTCAATCTATGATGACGCTATCCCATTGACGTCTATATTATTGAATGGAAAAAACTAGTTAGTTAATTAGTTTTATTTACGCAGGCGTTTACGTATTCACTCATTAATTATCTTGAGCTGTAGTAGGGCCGTGCATCAGTCTTCGCTGTTGTACGAACAGGCAGGTCCGTTCATAGAAAAACCATAACCTCACAGAAAACCATCGTGAAGTGGAAGAGTTATACTTGTACGTTTCGTATGGTTAGTCTGGTAACTGGGGCCCATTTCATTAAAAGGTGGTAATGGTGGTAATGCATCTAAAAACCTACGCGTGTTGCTAATGTTCTTGGGCGGCGGTGTCACTTAACATCAGGCGAAGCGCCTTGCTCAGTTGCCATCTTTTTGATTATCATATTATATTGTTGATATGTCAAAATAAAACAGAACAACGTCTACCAGGTCAAGTAACCTCATTGTAACACATTTTGATTATTTTCTTAACTATTGTATATTGTATATTGAAAGATAATTATAAGAGAAATATTTAAACAAACTATTGTTCGATTCACCGTATTCAAATAAATACACATTTTGAAACAATGAATAAATCAATGTATTAAATAGCTATAACTTATGGGAAAAAATGTAGACATAAATGCGGCCCTTTGTATCGCATCGTTTTAAAATGTCAATGTTCTATGTGGGCTTGTAATGGCACGATCGATAAATCAGTACAATATGCTGTTGTTTATGGACTTCATGGTATTTGAACGTTTGTGCGAACGAAACTGTTTGGTTCACGTTTTACTAGTATTTAGTTCAAAAACGTTGTATTTGTAGATTTCAATTATTCATTCTATTGACGCATATACTTGTTGTGTAAAACCGTTTTACATTATATAATATTTGATTTTATAATTTATTCAGTAATTTGAAACAAATCCATAGTAACTATTAATATTATGATACTAAGAAATATTTAAAGTCAATTTTTTTTCTGATTCAATAGTATGCATGCTATTTACTCTTCCTATAACAGGAAAAAAACAACGACGGAGTACTCGCTAGACATCTTATTGCAATGAAATCATCGAATTTCACACACTAGTGAAAACATAGAGGATTGTTGGAAATAGACTATATACAAATGATAAAAATAAAGAGGTTTAATCCTCATTAGTGTTTGATGGTTAATATCTAATATTCTCTTATAGTAGTTATGAAGCTGATTCTTATTGAGTTATACTTATTTAGCGTGTTAGGAAAAACTTTGTGCAAAGCGACTATCAATTTTTATATATTTTTTATTTTTATTATTTTATACCAACCAATAACAACTTTTTGATATTTACAGTTAAACCGTTATCAATTGAAATTAATTTCTTTTTTTACGGTTCCTTAACCAAAGGATAAAACAGAACCCTATTACTAAGACTCCTGTCTGTCTGTCTGTCCGTCTGTCCGTCTGTCACCAGGCTGTATCTCATGAGCCGTAATAGTCAGACTGTTGAAATTTACACAGACGATGTATTTTTGTTGCCGCTATAACAGAAAATTTTAAAAACAAAAAAAAATATTTAAGTGGGGCTCCCATACAACAGACATAATATTTTGTCGTTTTTATAGATAAGGGTACGGAACCCTTCGTGCACGAGTCCGACGCGCTCTTGGCCGGTTTATAACTCTTAACTTGATACGCTTTATTTCAATAAAATAATGGAATTTAGTTGAAAATCTTATCTTTTGTAAATAAAGCAGAAAAATGGAGCGTCATTTATAATCTCTCATTTGTGACACGGAATATTTAAATTGAGACGTCACTTCGATTCACCGACCCGTGAGTGGTCCAGATCATAACAAATAAACAGAGACAAATAAATTAATTGTTCTATAAAATTTATTTGCAGCGAGCGGTTGAATGTTGAATATAACAAAACCGTGATCATCGGCCCTGGAATTCGTCGTTCAACGTATACATAGAAATGAACAAAAGATAGTTAGCAAACAGCAGCGCACTTTGTGAACCGGCCGTGATATATC